ATATATATATATAATAATAATAAATCATTATATTTTTATTATTATTTGTTATTAGGAAATTTTCATGACAATTTTATAATGATAAATTTCAGAAACCGGCAGTCAAAAATTTTGAGCCATAGATTACTATGATCATAATTACGTGATTTATCCTACCCTTAATTAGATTTGTCAATCAACCAATATTGAATACCCCAAGAAGTTATGGAAACAACTAGGAAATTTCTGCTCAAAGTTGATACTTATTTCCATTACCTAATAAGGTATTGTACAACAAGGAACAGGAACACCCCTAATATCTAGCAACTTTAAATGATAGTAGAAAAAATATACATGGCCTTTGATGCATAGAAACATAAAATATGCTTTAATTAAACAAAACATTTATTAAAATTGCTATGCTGATTAATTTTCAATTAGGAAAAAGTGATGATTTTCAAATGACTCCTTCACAAGGAAAAAAAGCATTTGATGATAAAACATAGTTGGAAGATTCAGAGTTTTTAATGGTAAGTTGAACTTTAAAATGTAGAGGCTCAATAACCAAGATAGAGGTATAGATCAAACTATCAGAATTTTTTACCATTATTCGCTTCAAAATCATGTGAATAATTTTATTTTTTAATTGATTTTAAATTATTTCATGTGCGATTTAATTTTAAATTTTAAATATCTAATTTATTCATCATATTCTTAAATTCTAAATAAAATATAAAACCTTTTAAATCTTCTTTATTCTGATCATATGTTCTTCCACTCTATAATTATTATATGTATATATTATTCATTATCATCATTCCCCTCCTTATTATCATCATCATTTTCATCATTCACACACTCAAATTCTTTTTCATCATTCTCATCATTGGAATCTTCTGAATCATCATAATTCTGGCCAAGTTTTAATGGTTCTTGATCTGGTAATCTTTTGAAAGCATATTTGTAAACTTTGAAACCAGACATTCCAACTTCTTCCCACCATCTTTCAACTCTATATAAACCATCATATCGATAACTATACATCAAAAGAGAACAAAAAAAAAAAAGGATGCAACTGTAATTTAATTTTTTTATGTTATGCCAAAAAAAAAACAAATAATAATAATATTATTTACCCTTCATTGGGCGCATACTGATTGTTTAATTTGTATCCTCTAATTTTATAAAATATTTTATAAAATATGTGTTTTATGATATAATCTACTTCTAAATATAATTAGAAGTCATAAATTACCTAATGACCCTGATTGGTTTTTTAGTTTCACATGAAATTTTCAAAGCAAGATTTCCACCAGTTAAAGATTGATCTTTTGACTGTAATTCAAAAAAAACTTAATTGAATGATTAAAAAAAAAGATTTATATATATAAAATAATACCTGAGGAGCAGTTCTTAAATTTTTTGGATTAGCTTTAGTTCCTTTTAAGTCTCTACCACCAGATCCAGTATAAGTAAAAGCTTCACCTAAAATCATATACATTTATTTATATATAGATTAAGAAAAACAACAATTTTATATATTATATCAAATATATTAACCCCAATCAACATCATCTTCATATCCCTAGAGTAAAAAATATATATTTAAATGATAATTTCCTAAAAAAACCTAATAAATAAATAATAGTTATAATAACTCACACCAGACAATGCAACACTCATTGCTCCTTTACTTTCATCATATGCAATACCAGCAACAGTCTGTCTATTTGATTGATTATATTGCAATGAAACAAATTAATATATCAATCTATTTTGTTTATTTACATTTTTTATGAACTTACCCATGAACTCCTGCACGACAACATTCCATACGTGTAAACCACCAAGCACCAACTGGAACTCCAGGGATTTTACCAAATTGTTTTGGATCAGGTCGTTTTTCACGCCAATTTGGATCAAATACAGGTTTTGGATATAATTTTGTTATTGATTTAGATTCATGCACATATTCATCACTATCTTCATCAGAACACACATCCTTAAAAGATTTTACTTGCTAAAATGTTCAAGTATTTATTTAAATTGTTAATTGTTATGTATGCTTATATTGTTATATTTTTTTTCCTAATTCTTGATTAATTATTTCTTTTAATTATAATATTTGTATTTTATTGATGTACCTTATTTGCCAGCCTATTAGATCTTCTTAGACCACCTGTTGATTCTATGTTTTCACCAGTTGTTGTTTTTAAAGACTTTAAGTTTTTATTTTTTTTGATTCTTTCTGAGCTATGTTTTCTTTTATTGGTTTTAGTTGGAGGTCGTTTTTTTTGTGTTGATGGTTTAGGTAAAGTAAGTAGTGGTCTCTCAAGGCCCATTTCACGTAATATTTTCTGATTAGCCTCAATATTTGCTTGGCGCTTTTTTTCATATTCATTCATTTTGACATGTAAAAAAAAAAAGTAAGTGTTAAAAAGAAATAATGGTTTATTTACGCGACTGTTTTGTTTGATGGGTTTTTATTGGCTTGACTTGATTTCACGTGCCCCCGCAAACTTCAAATTCATAATATTAATATTAATATTAAGGGTAGCATAGTGGACACTCGTGACAAAATCGATCGTCGATCTTTTTTATATTGTGAAACTTGCTATTTCAATTGAATTTAGAATAGAAAAAAGTCG